ACACCCTCTGTCAATTCTAAAATTTTGCATATCAGGACATAATAAAAAATCATCATGTCCTTAGCAGGTCTTAAAATTAGGTGAATACAACCTCAGATGATTTGTTTAACAAAAACTAAGCAAAAATGTAGATTTTTGTAAATTTAAGCACACTTTTTTGCTTCCATAGGAATTAAAATGGTAAGTAGAGCCAGGTGCTGCTAATCATATGCACTTGATTAACTGATCATCAGCAAGAGTGACGACCTCTATAAAGGCACAAGTTTTGGCAGTTTGCTGGTCTGGAGCATTCAGGTGTGTTAACACAATGCCAAGGAGGAAAGACATCAGCAATGATCTTAGAGAAGCAATTGCTGCTGCCCATCAATCTGGGAAGGGTTATAAGGCCATTTGCAAACAATTTGAAGTCCATCATTCTACAATGAGAATGATTATTTGCAAGTGGAAAACATTAAAGACAGTTGCCGATCTTCCCAGGAGTAGGCGTCCCAGCAAATTCACCCCAAGGTCAGACCGTGCAACGGTCAGAGGAACTGCAAAACACCCAAGACCTACATATCTCAGACTCTACAGGCCTCAGATAGCATGTTAAATGTTAAAGTCCACGACAATGCAATTAGACTGAAGTCGTATGGCTTGTTTGAAAGGGCTGCCAGGAAAAAGCCTCTTTTCTCTAAAAAGAACATGGCAGCATGGCTTAGGTTTGCAAAGTTGCATCTGAACAAACCACAAGACTTCTGGAACAATGTATTTTGGACAGATAAGACCAAAGTTGAAACGTTTTGCCATAATGCACAGTGCTGTGTTTGGTAATAACAGCAGATCAGCACAAACACCTCATACCAACTGTCATGCACGGCAGTGAAGGGTCATGATTTGGGTTTGTTTTGCAGCCACAGATCCAGGGCAACTTGTAGTCATTGAGCTGACCATGAACTCCTCTGTATACCTAAGTATTGTAGAGTCAAATGTGAAGCCATCAGTCCAACAACTAAAGCTTGGCCGAAATTGGGTCATGCAACACGACAATGATCCCAAGCACACCAGCAAATCTACAACAGAATGGCTGAAAAAGAAAATAATCAATGTGTTGCAATGGCTTAGTCAAAGTCCAGACCTCAACCTGATTGAAATGCTGTGGTGGGACGTGAAGAGATCTGTGCATAAACAAATGCCCACAAAAGGTCCTCCACAATGATGTGAGAGACTGATAAAGTCATACAGAAGATGATTACTTCAAGTTGTCACAGCCAAAGGTGGTTCTCCAACTATTGAATGGTGGGGTCTACTTAGTTTTTCACACGTGGCTTCTCCATTTTGACTTTATTTTTGTTTATTTAGGTTACATATAAAGATTTTTAGAACCTGATAAGGACCACATGATTTTTATGATGTCCTGATATGTAAAACCACGTTCCTAAAACAAAGATAAACAACATATAAATATATACACACAAAACCAAAACTGATTGCAATTGCCCATGATATATTAATGCACTAGTCTAGTCACAAACTCTAGAAGTCTAGAGTGTAGAAGCTACTGGAAGTTGAGCAGATCTTCTTGACAAATGTATGATAGATTTATAGATGAATGGAACTGTACAGTGTACCAGTGATAAGGTTTCAGTATTCATATTTCCATCATGTTAATACCATGTGATAAAATGGTGAATTCCACATTGACTGTGGCACGGGTTTTATCCTGCAAGGACCCATTTTTCTATGTCGACAGACAAATATGGAGGAGTAATGGCCTAGCAAGGACGTCAGTGCTGCAAGGCTGCCATTCTCAGCTCATGGTAAAAGGTTGGGTAAAGATACCATGGGATATTCTTCCTGCTATAAGCTTTTTATCAGCTGTTCTCATGCTTTGAGTACTCTTACAGTTACCCATGAGACTAGAGCAAATAATCTGTGCCTCATTTTTTGGCTTTTATGCTATTTTATACAGCAGAAGACATCCAAGCTGTCTCAACAGAGCTCTTTGTTAGAACTATGATCATGTGACAGTTACAAATCCTAAACAATGTACTAAGACCTTCATTCCAGAGATAAAGAGCTGGTTTAATATACAAATACAGCCATAGAAAAAATTGAGACCATTCTATATTTTTAGGCAAATGTGCATTTTAAAATTCTGGTTTAATCGTGGTTCTGCTGGCAGAGGCTACGCTGAGCATCAGGATGCTTCCAGGTTCAAAATTTCTAAGACAGCAGTACTCAAGAACAATGGGAAGCAGGAGACACTGGGAATGACTAGAAACCAGCCAGGTAAAGGGCAGAAGTGACTTTCTAATGCCTGAGATGACCGTTAACTTATTCGACAGTTTCTCATGAATCGGAGGATGACATCAAGTGACCTTAAAAAGGAATGGGAAACATTAAGTGTAGGTGTGAAATGCACTGGTAAGACAGGTCGTATCAGGCTCCTAGGAGCAGGACTGAAGTCCTATAAAGGAATACATACACGCTGTGAATTTTATGTATATATATACAGGTATAAATATAAACACATTATTCACAGATGCACATCCATAAATTGAGAGATGAGTGAAACTAAAAATTGTGCTCTAGTCTCTTAATATTATCCATGACTGTATATACTGATAACAAGCCTTCTCTCTATTTTTTAAGGAATATACAACCATTGGCAAAAATATTAAATTGTAGTATATGAAGAAATTTGGAGGTGACAAATTTTGCTGTACAGTAAACCTAAAAGTATTATCAGTTGGTATTGCATCATTTTCTTGTAGTTATTTGTATTCTTGCTGTGTGTCAATGTGCATGTTTTCGCACGAAAGCTCATGTTTTTTTGCTTCAATAAGAATACAGGCATGTAAAAACCTGAAAAGGTTCTTCACTGGCAGAGGTGCCGTGGCATAACTTATATAAACACACAAACTTAATACCGATGAATAACCATAAATAGACATTGGAGCCTTACAAATACATGCATTATTGAAGTACTGTAGACTTCCATGTTGTCTGTGTGTCAGAAGGGCAGTCTGCGTTTGGACGCATGCCACCTGTAAGCTGGACAGTCACCACAAGTGGGGTTGGAGTTTTACGCAGTGACCTTCCAGGAACCAGTCTAAGGGATTCATCTGCTCTACGTCCTACACTCGTCTGCCTGTCTTCCCTTTTCTTCAGGGTCAGAGTAGAAATGATGTTTCCTGCTCTTCTCTGTTCATCCAAAAAGTGCACCCAGCCATTCCAATTAGCTTTTTTTTTTTTTAAATCCTCTAGTCATATTAATAAATACAGACTGTTTTATTAGTCTTACAGTAACAACATTTTATCCCTCAATATTTATCTGGCAATGGGTTAAAAGTGATTATTCAGGATCTGATATTATATATTTAATATTTAAAATTTCATCTGAATTTCAAGTTTTACTTTTAATCATTGGATTCCTTTTGATTCCTGAAGGTTTCCAGAACATATACATTTAAAAGCCTTGTAGGATACGGTGGTTTGCTTAATCCCTCACCATCTCTAACCAGTCTGACTGCGAAAGTATTATCCAGGATTATATGTGACCCATAGGTTGTTAACATGCTTTAGAATGTACAGTCTTTGTTCTTAAACTAGGCCTTACTATCTCTGGACTGTTTCCCCTTATTTTGTTCTGATTATTTACATTTGTCACTTTCTTTGAGTTTCTCATCCTGTTTTGGAAGTTGTTTGACTCTCCTCTCTGACTAGTAGTGTTTTGGACATTCCCCAAGTGTTCTACACCACAAAGACATTTCTGGGCCCCAGCCAGAACACAAAGAATCCCATTTTTCAGTTTGTTCTAAAATCTGTCCCGTTTTTTTGCCAGAGGAAGACCATGGCTGCCCGCCTACATTCCAGGATGTCAGATCGCTATTGACGAATTAGCATGGAACAGCTGTGTCCTTTCATAAATTACACTGCAGGAGAGAGAAGCTCAGTGTAGGACATGATATGGGTTGTAGCTTCTTACCTACCACCTCAGACTAAGATCTGCTTGCACATTTTCCCCTAGGGTTTGGAAGGATTGGTGGTCTGATCGGTAGTGAATCACTTCTGAAACTCCCAGTGCTCACATTTGAGTTGAAAAAACTGTAGAGCTGTGTGGAGCATTTGGAAGACGCTAAACACGATGTGAGCAAGGCCTTTCGCGGCTGTAACATTTGAATGATGCACATCACTGGGGCAGAATTGAAGGAGTTCTTCACTCTTTCCAAGTGACTCTGTGTCTTTAGAGTCTGCATCTTCTTCCTCTGTCATCCCATTTTCGTTCTGCAGTCCAAAGTCATGCAGCTGGGTGAACATCCCTAAAATGCCTGTAGTGGGTGAGTGTGGGGCCTTGCGATAGATTGGCTTCCAACCCAGGGTTCCCTGTGCCTTGTGCTGCCTGAGGTAGTCTATTTATGTGACCTGGGATTAGCTGGCATAGTGTAATACTATTTTAAATGATCTTTTTTTGAAATCCTGCTCATAATCACAATAAACAGTTTAAGTGTACATTAAGATTAGCTGGCAAAAATGCATCTGCTTCAAGCCAAGATGAATTAGGTGAAAGAAGTCATAGACAGAAAGCACAAGCACACGCTGGGAGTGACCAGGCTGCGGGTCAGCTTGGAGCGATTAGCTTTGTAGTGGCTCACAGCTTATATAATGACAGCTAGCTCTCTCCCAGTGGGACGCGTGCTAAGCAGCAATAGCTCCATGAACAGGATTCATTCTCGAAAGTAAAATGAATTAAGTCAATTTGTTCATTTTGATATATCATTACTTTCAATTTCCCAGAAGGAGAAAAAATAAAGAAAAAGAGCTATTTCTTCGAATCGGAAACATGAAACACGCCACCAGGAGAATGTGCTCACCTATAGCTGAAAGATATTTTCTGTGGGATCGGACTGACGTGTTTATTTTGGGAATTCCCAGGCCGGAACAGTATCACCCAACCCCCCCCCCCCCAAAACACACACACACACACCCCTTGCATGCTATCGAGAATTACCACAGACCTGGTCCTACCCTCGGTCGACTCCACTGGCCGGACTCTGTGAACCTTCAGAAGCTAAATGCCCATCTTGAACCTGCGGGTGCAGTGTGATCCACATTCTTTTTCTCTCTCTCTCTTTCTCTATCCGGGCTGTTCTTATTAACGACCCATGTGGCTCTCGTCTATGAGCGCTGTTCTGTTTCAAAGCCGCTTTGACAGAAGACTCTCCCGCGGACGTGGGCCTGTCACGGCTTCCTGTCATGTGTCCGATAATTAAAAATCTGACTGATTTATTGACGAGCATCAGCCGCTGCTGAGGAGCCGAAGCTATATCATGCTCATCCTTCCCAAGGCTAAATTTACTTGTCAAAAAAAAAGTCGGCCCTCCTTTTCTCATATCTGCCCTCCGAGCCGCGTTGTCAGTCAGCTACCGTGGCAACCAGAAAGACAGCAAACAGATACCCCAGCCAGACACCCTTTCGTTTATTCTATTTTAATATTTATTGCCACCTAGAAAATGAACATGATACAGGCAACTTAGTGAGCGAAGGGACATCCTGGTGATTTGTGGGAAGCGTCTGTTTAAAGGAGACTCCGGTGTAAAATCCTCCGGCCCCGTGACATATTTACACCATCTTGAAATGTACATGTTCAATTAATTTTCCAATAACATTGTGCAACCCTTTAGAACAGTTTCAATATTTCAGCCTTTCATCAAGCCTTTCATAAATAACTTCATGTATAATGTAATACAATGACGTTAGGAAATAGATTTACAGGTCAACTTATTAATCTCATGTTACATTTAGGATCAAAGTGGTGTATATCAAGTTAATATAAGGTTATTTTGCCATATTGGCAACTTAAATTTACATTACCTGGACTGTATAGTTGCATTATTTAGATGCAAATGATAAACCATGATAATGCTTTAATTTAGATAAATGAGAGTAGGTATCAGTGTAGGTGCTATTTTTTTTTCCTGGCATTGGTACGAAAGCCCAGAGCTGACTGCCAACACATCACCATGCACAGGTACAGCCCTACCTGACGGGATCCGGTGCTGGGGACTTCACGGCTGACACCTTGACATTCTCCCGTGACAGTCAGAGCTGGACAGGCATCAGGAATCGCATGGCCCTCGCCCACGTGCCTCGCAGGCACCTCACACATCCGCTGTGATAGAAAAATGAAGGCATGTACATACATACACAAACTGAAGCCAACCGCTTTCCCAGAAGCCTCAGAGTATCTCTGTACACACATACACACACACACACACACACACACACACATTTGCTGTGCAGGCATTCTTCGATATGTGGGCATTCTCTCTCTCTCTTTCTTTCTCTCTCTCTCTCTCTCTCTCTCACACACACACACACACACACACACACACACACACACACACACACACACACACACACACACACACACAAAGACGTCTCATTTATACAACAAAGGATTATCAGTAACACAATCCCACTAATCAGCGCTAATTTCTTACTTTACAGATGACACCCACTGTCCCCCAAAGACTTGCATACTGACATCCTTACACACATATACATGAACAGCTTAAACAAAGCTAATCAACAAATACCGTTACGTAGACCTGAGCTGAATTTCCACAAAGAGGGCTGATTATTACAGGAGACAAGGAAAGACTGCTGGCAAATAAAGAGTTATTACACAAAAAGTGAAAGTATCTTGAGGTTTTATTACATTACTCTATAAAACAGAGCCTACAAATGACGTAAAAGCGCAGACAACTTTTTTTGCACACACCATGTACAATTTTTCTTTCCAGGAAAAATTCAAATTCAGTATGAGATACAGATATAAACATCAGAACCTTCCCATCATGCATCCCACCCACCGCAAACCATGCGATGACCCAGTAATCCTCCTTTCTCTCTCTCTCACTTTCATTTTGAAAAAAGGAAAGAAAAAACTCCTTACAATAGCCTGTCTGATGCCAGGACTCCGCTGGTGTGGTGCAAGCCAAGGGTTTGGCTCGGGACTCTGCGGGCATCTTCTACACCGCCGCTCTGCGATACGACCGACCCGCGCCGTGGGCCCAACCACCCATGCCGCACTGCTCTCCTGCATTCCCCTACATGCTCCCGGCCACGTGCCCCCCCACCGCGGCTCGCTTTCTCCCTTTGAGGCTCAGTACCAGATGCTGTGTGCTCGGGGCCCTTCCCTCTGCCACTCTTGCGCCAGCTCTGCGTCGTTTACACGCTGCCGCCCGAGTGGGGGCCTGATTTATTTCACGAGCCGTCCAGGATGTAGCACCCTGCGGCGTAGGGCATAATCGTCGGCGTGAGCTTTGGAGGAATGACGTCTACAGTGTTTGAAGCTGTGAGTCTTGATTTTTCATAGAATCCGTGGTCTCCGGTTCCGGTGCTGCAGTGCTTAAGGTGCGATCTGCAGGTGCTGCAGTGCTTAAGGTGCGATCTGCAGGTGCTGCAGTGCTTAAGGTGCGATCTGCAGGTGCTGCAGTGCTTAAGGTGCGATCTGCAATACATGCGAAACATCATACCGACATGCAGGCTAGCAACTAGCATCGCAAGGCTAAGGTGCAAGCTCTCTAAAAAGCTGTATAGTGGCAAGTACCTTAAATTATTTCTTCAGATTGTATTGTTTATTTGTGTCCTATTCTTCACTTCGATGCCACTTTGGACAAACGTGTCTGTCAAATAAAGAAGTTTGAATGTAAATGTCAGACGTCAGGGGTCTAGCCCAGAGACCTGCTCTGTCTGAGGGTCGTCAAATTGAATTCAGTCTGTGAAGTTATGATGATCGCAGAATTATAATGGTTTTAGGTAAAGCAGCTTTGGACTATAGCTGTTGTGATGCATGAAATTCTCAAACTGAATGCCTATTAAAATATCTGATGCTAATGACGCGTCTTGCAAATGAAAAAAAAAAAAGGATTTTATTCATGTATAGAGATGGTTTTTAGCTTACAACTCTGTCCTATTCACTTTGAGAGCAGTCCTAAATGCTCAAATATTTGCTAGTTGGGGCTCAACATTAGAGCCTCTTTCAGACATTGAAAATGGAAAGACCTTCCTCCTACAGACCCCCCACACATGGGTGTCTTCAAGGTAAAATTCCAGCCTTGTTGATGCGGGTGAGGTGCTTGTTAATTTCCATCTTTAACCCAGGTTGTAATAATGTTTTACTGGAAGTGCCCCATCTTTTCTCCTATTCTGCATGCCAGCTTTCATTCTATTACAGATTTCAATTTCAAGAGCTCTGCATGCAAAAACAAAAATATATAATTATTTCCGCAAAATCACACATTGCAGTCATTACACGTAGTGTTGAGGAGAGTGCGATTTATCTGACAGTGATCTGCATTTTCTTCCAGGAGATGTGTCTTCGTCTATCGCCGCCCGTGTACTTGTCGGACACCCAATGCACATCTTATAATGACCCTGTAATAACCATGCATCAGGCCCATCAGCAGCATCCTCAGCCAGAGTGGCTGAATAATACCGCTAATGGATGGACCACAGATTCATCAATCCTGCTCACAGCACCAGCACCTCTCCTTCATATCCTCCCCATGTTAATGCACTATTTTTATCAGAGGATGTGGGCTACCCTGCCAGGGCACCAGACCTCTGAAGCAGTGACAGATACATCTCCTCCTTGACAGGAAGGTATTTTTTAGGACTGGCTCCTCACATGATTGAGCTCCCTACACCTGTGGTCCGGTAGACCCTCGGTTGTTCAAGGGGTTCTACGCTTGCAAAATGTCACACGGCAAAACTGTCAGATAGGAAAACCACTGGCAGTGGGATAAACAAGCACCACAGACCAGTTTAAAATGCAGCTCATCTAAATCCTGTCTGTTTTCAGAAGAAAATACGATATTCCAATAAATTTTAAACTTCAGGTTTAACAAGTCGGAAACCTAGTGTCTGAATAAAGCATTGATTTTCTATATTCAAAAAAATAAATCTAGCTGAGTGAGATTTGTCCCTGTTGAAGCAAAGACTTTGCATTTCTATGTTTGTTATTTTGATATCTCTTCTTGAAAATCTGTTAGGCTTTCATGGGTTTTATCTATACTTGATGATTACAATGATGGCACAATGGTCCAGTGTGTTGCAATGCTGTCACACCTCAAGGATTAGTGGTCCAATCCCACCTCTGCTCTGCTCTGTGTGCAGTTGGCCTGGTCTCCATGTGTTGGGCTTCACCTGCCCACTAGCTTCCTCCTGCAGTCCAACGACATACAGTTAGTCTGTTTGGTATCCTGACTTGCCTGTGGTGTATGACTGTGTGTGTGTGTGCTCTGGCATCCCTTCCAAGCTGTACCCCTGCCATATACCCTCTGCCCCAACCCCCATAATGACACTGACCAGCATAACAGGTCATAAGATGGAAAGATGGGTGGATATTCATAACAATAGGTGAGTGATATATACATAAACTCCTCTAGATTTATAAATGAGCCATTAGCAAGAGATCACTTTAAAATAATGAATCGGGTATTAAGATTCAAGTTGCCTGTTAACATACTGGCCCTCAATTGATTATTAATGTATGTCCTGATCTGTTCACAAATACATGAATATTTAAAGGAATAAAATTACTACCCCCCCCCCCCCCATCCCATAATCCTTTTCTCATCAAAGCACAGCACAAAAACATGAAAAGGCTTGGACTTCAAAGTATTTATACTCTACACTATAACTGGCTGAAATTATAAAAATTTACTAAATCTGCTCACTCTATTAAAAGAGTAGTAGCTGTATAACTATTTCTCTGTATAAGCCTTCAACCCTGTTTCTCAGTCAAGCCACTTATGCGTTCAGTTTTCTGTTAATTGGTCATATTTCCTGAACATGTGCAATGAATAAGCGCAATAGGCCAAAATCATCTAGTTGGCCATTACTGGGGATTCTTTATTGCATTTGTAATAATTCCTACAACAAAGAAGGAAAATTCAGTTTTTGCACAGATGTGCCAAAACACAACCTTAGTGTCATTTTAGTGTCAACTTAAATCTAAATTCTTAGCTATGTACAATAGAACTGGAACTTTTTTTATGACCTGATTTGTTGTTCTGTAAGTATGTGAAAAGTGAATAAAATGTGAATCTGTAGTTTATTCATTTGAGTATTTTAAAATCTTACTGAATAATCGAAGAAGTCAACAAAAGCATGATTGCACAGCAATTTGGTATACGGCATAATACAGTGAGTTTGCCTTTAGTTTATCTGACAGTCAAAAATTTATGAAGAAGTTTTGGAGAAGTTGGGGCGGTTTTTAAGCTATATATATTTTAGCCAGAAGGTAAATCATCACTGGGTTGATGATTGTCAAAAAAAAACAAT